GTAATTTTGCACTGTTATGAATCATCATGTAAATATCTGATATGCAGGATGTATTTTCATTGTTACAAATTGAACATAATTAAAGCATAGTGATTAATCACAAAAACAGTATGTAATTATATATGTTTTCCGATGCTCTTAGGCGACCCCTGTGAAAGGGTCGCGACCCACAGGTTGAGAACTGCTGGGTTAAGGGCATGTACCTCCGTTGCAGGCTCGATCCCATCAATTATTCTCTCTGTCTCTACCCCTCCCTTCCACTCTCAAGGGGCAAAATGCCCTTGGGTGAAAATTAACAAAAAAAAGGAAGAAAGGGAGCGAGAGAGAGAGAGAGAGAGAGAGAGAGAGAGAGAGAGAGAGAGAGAGAAGCAACTTTCAATTGTGAGCTTCTTCCAGTTTTTCTAATTTCGCTTACATTCACACCACCTTAACCAGAAGGTAGTCACACAACCAAACTAAATAAGGGAGCCTGGCAAATGTAGTGTTTTTGTCTGGGTACTTTGCTTTCCTGGATGAAATGAATTTTTTGTTACTAGGAAAGAATGGGAGAATGAATATTGAGTTAACAATTAACAAGTATTTTTGCAGTTAAGAAGGATTTACTGTCTCACACACAGTTAAATATTTAATCATAAGTAGAGTAATTAAGTATTCCTTTGAGCCGTAACCGGTTTGGCTCGGTGGATAGAGCGTCAGCCTGCGGACTGAAGGGTCCCATGTTCGATCCCGGTCAAGGGCATGTACCTTGGTTGCGGGCACATCCCCAGTAGGGGGTATGCAGGAGGCAGCTGATTGATGTTTCTCTCTCATCGATGTTTCTAGCTCTCTGTCCCTCTCCTTCCTCTCTGTAAAAAATCAATAAATAATAATTAAAAATAATCCTTTGAGACTGTTCTTCATCTGTTTCTATACTATTACAACCTAACTGGGGCAACAGGAGGAACTAGATTAGTTTCTTTTCTTTCTTCCTAGTACTTTCCTGTTCACACAGTAAATGTTTTCAGTAACTACTTCTGCTACTGACTTTGCCATTAAAGAGAACATTATTTATTGAATATAGACACCATAAAGCAGTTGGTATTTTAATTTAGTCAAATATAGTAATACAATAGTATCAGAGCGTTAACTTGTTAGCTATCTATCATGGTCCAATGTATATTTTTTTATATGATTAATTAATATTTCCCTCAAAAGAGGCATGCTTAGAAACAGATGTACTGTTAATATCGACAGTTCATAAACAACATTTCTTGTTTTTAGGCTTGTCACTATGAGAAACAATAAAGTGACTTAACTTATTTTCATCTTTTCCACCTTTCTCTTCCTCTCCATAGGCTATATATTGATGGTCCATTTGGAAGTCCATTTGAGGAATCATTGAACTATGAGGTTAGCCTCTGCGTGGCCGGAGGCATTGGAGTAACTCCATTTGCGTCAATACTCAACACCTTGCTGTATGTCATTTTGATCTATTTTATTCATCCATATAAAGAACTGTCAATATTTTAGACATCTCTCTTTTATATGATGTGTCTCCTTATAGATTCCTTGTACTTGCTATTGAAGGAACTTCATTGGCTGATTGATGAAGGGAATAATTCAGTGATTCTCAATATATGGTCTTTGGCTTTCAGCATGATGTTTTGTGAAATATGTCAGTACTGCAGCTCTGCACTCTTCTGTCTTTATCCTTATTAGAGTTACTCCACCAGCCTTAATTTCTCTACTGTCTCATCAGTGTTAAGTGCACTATGTATCTGTCTGTCAACAAATATTTTTGAGCACCTATGTGCCAATTTATCTTATAGGTAAGTACAGGTAATACATCAATGAATGAAACTGAGCCCCTTCCCTTAAAAAGCTTAGTTCAAAAGGGGAAAATAAAAATAAACGAGTGAGAAATTCACAAATAACATTACTTAAGAAAATATTAGAACTATGATAAGAAGAGGTATTTGTGGGATATAGAAATAAGGGCTAAAGCTATCATGAATATGATTAGGGAGAGGTTTTCTGAGATGACAGAATGAGCCCATCATTCCTTGATCTATTACTTGGCAAATTTAAAACAAACAGAAGAACCCTAGCCAGTTTGGCTCAATGGATAGAGCATCAACTCAAGGACTGAAGGGTCCTGGGTTTGATTCCAGTCAAGGATGTGTACCTCGGTTGCAGGCTTGATCCCCGGCCCCAGTCGGGGCATGTGTGGGAAGCAACCAATTGATGTGTCTCTCTGAAGTCCATGTTTCTCTCTCTCTGTCTTTCGCCCTCCCTTCCACTATCTCTAAAAAATCAATGGGAAAATATCCTTGGATGAGGATTAACAAAAATAAATAAATAAATAAAACAGAAGACTAGAAATTTCAGAGGTAAGACTGCTTAACCAGGAAAGACTTTTGCAGTTATTTCTGTCCTAGGATTATAAGAAAAAATTAATTTATTAATTCTCATGAAAGCACAAACAAAATGACAGTAGGAAATTATTCTCAATTCTACTACATACATTCACTTACAAGACATAATTTGCATTAAAAATCTGTTTTATGGAGTACCAAAAAAGAACCAGTAAGTTGAAATGATGTGTTTAATGATATTTTACTTCAGTTTTAAATTCTTGATATAAATTTGGGCCTTTTTGGAGGCTCTTAGAAAAATAACCATATTGGCATGCCAGAAATCATTTGTTTCTGAAAACATATTGCAAGTTACTTGGACACCTAAAGTTAAGAAAAGAAACGAATATTTTCTTAACCTCAAGCCTACTTCCTAATTATAAGTAGGAATCCAGAGTTGGAGTCATGAGTTACTGGAATGCATTACATAGTAGGCGGTTATGAAATCTCCCTCTTTAATGATATTAAGAAGGGGATAAACAACCCATTTCTGGAATGGTTTTGGTTCCCTTTGCCTGGAAGCCAGGGCAAGAATGATGAGGACTAGACTGGAGCCCCTGCTGTGTGATAGAATTCAAAGAAAAAAGGGAACTTTTTTTCCCTGAGATGTAGGGCTAAAAGTATTCTGATCCAGGAGTTTAGTTTATTACCTTCAACTGGAAATGGGTGATGTGCATATAATATTCACAAGTATGGACACTGAATTTATGGAGCATATCCTGTCTTTGACTCAGAATATTCATTTTACATTCCTTTGGGAGTTACAGTAAGTGCTATGTCTGATGCTTGAATGTAAATGGCTGTTTTTCTGTTGGTTACTTACTAGTGAAAATAAAAATTTCAAAGATGCAGGGATTCTTAACTTTTTGCCATCCTAATCATTATCGTGTTGTTTTTATCTTAAAGGGATGACTGGAAACCTTACAAGCTTAGGAGACTGTATTTTATTTGGGTGTGCAGAGATATCCAGTCCTTCCGTTGGTTTGCGGACTTACTCTGTGTGTTGCATAATAAGGTAAAATTAGGTTTGTTTCCAATTTTGCAGTGTTTAAATTTAAAAAACATAGTTACTATGTTTCAAATTGCTAAAGCACTAAATGATTGCTACAGACAAAAATAAAAGCAAATATGCAAATAAGTAGTAAGAAGGAAAAATCCTTTAAATTAAAAAACAACACAGAGATAACATTTGTTACTTGGTACACATCTTTTTAGATACTGATATCTATGATTATGTGTATGGATCTATGACATGTTTTACCCTAGAAATGATGACTGATGCATTCTAACATGGAATATTTTAACACAGAAATGCATGCACTATTAATGTGGGCATATATATGTGTATGATGTTTGCAAATGCACGCATATGGGAAGGCAAATAGAGGGAAACATCAGCAGGCCATTGCTAGTACATTTCCCATCTTTTGTTCTAATGGCTCTGAACTTTTATCTTCACCTTTGCTCTTCTAAATGGACCATCACCAGACTTTTGGCACATGCAGAATTTCCAAAATCCCAAATTCTAAGTGTTAGTTCTTATAAGTATGAAAGCAGACATTCTTCATCTCTCCTACATGTGACCTATTATTTATCTATTAATATATCTATATTTTTTCAAGCTGTACAAGTAGTACACATTTTTTTGCATATTTGGTGCAGTTTTTCCAAATAATTCAGATAAAGCAAAATCTTCCCTAACTACTTTCCCCACCCAATCTATGTAACAAGAGGGAAGTCCCACGTGTTCTATAAATTCTAGCCTAATTTGTATTGCTCTGGAAGTTGCTTTCTTAAACTTATGACTATTCTCTTGAACATTTTTAATAAGAGTACATATAGAGTTACCTCATTCTTTTTACTGCTTTATAGTATTTCATAGTATGAATGTGTCTAATTTATTTAACCATTCCCTCAGGATGGGCATTTATAATTTTATTATAAAGAGCATAGCGATGAATATCATACATGCCATTTTGTGCAGATATTCACCCATTCAATCAGTCATTCTGTCACTCATCAAATATTTAGTAACTGCCTACTATGAAGTAGAAAGTATTCTGGGACATGGAGCTACATCAGAGATCAAAATAAAAACAAGTGTCTGATCTCATGTGATTTACATTCTAAGTGGGGATGAAAGACAATAAACCAATAAAGAAATGGGATGTCTGATTCTGATTAAGGCAAAGAAGAAAAAGAAAGTGGGGTAAAGCAACAAAGAGTAAATGATAGAGAGCATATTAATATATATTGAATATTTGGAAATGCCCACCAACACTGGTATTTTAGCAGACACCTGAATAAAGTGAATGAACAGGCAGTTCTTTTGGGCAAAAAAATATAGGGCAGAGGGACCCAAATTCACAGGCAAGCACTCTGATGCAATAGTATTAGACTGGAGCAAGATGAAAGTGAACTTTGTGGGCAGAGCCGAGTAAGCGAGAGGAAAATTAGTAGGAACAGCAATCAGAGAGATCGTATGTGTTTTCTGGGAAAAGGACAGATTACATAAGGCCTTTGGATTTTATGTAAAAGAGAGATGCATTCTGGAAATATACCCATAATAATTGAAAGCAGTGACTTGAACAGCTATTTGTGTACCAATGGTCATAGCAGCATTTTTCACAATAGCCAAAAGATGGAAACAACCCAAATGTCTATTGATGGATGAATGGATAAAGAACACTCTGCATATACATAAAATGGAATATTATTCAGCCTGAAAAAGAATAGAATTCTGAGCCATTTTACAATATGTATGAACCTTGAAAGCATTATACTAATTTAATTAATCTAGACAAAAAAGGACAAATATTATCTGATTCTACTTATATGAGATACCTAGAGTAGTCAATTTCCTAGAATGCTGGTCACCAGGGCATGAGAGGGAGGGCAAATGGGGATTTACTGGTTAATGGATAGAGTTTTAGTTTGAGAAGAAAAGTTCTGGAGATGGATAGTAATGATGGTTGCTCATCAATATGAATGTATTTAATGCCACTGAACTGTACACTTAAAAATAGTTACAATGATAAGTTTATAATATGTTTTACCACAACTTAAAAAAAGGACACATTTCTGGGACACACTAGAGACCTGCTGAATGAGAGATGAGTTGCCATCGCAAGGTTATAAATGAGACTAATCTGACTGCTGATCATCTTGGGAATGTGTGTGAAAGTAGCCACGGGGTGTGGCCAGCCTGAAAATGGCCCTCAGCCCCTCACCCAGGCTGGCCAAACCTCCATGGGGTGAGGGTCCCCACTGGGGTGGACATTCTCCGAGGGGTCCCACACTGCAAGAGGGCATAGGCCGGGCTGAGGGACCCCCCCCCCCCCCGAGTGCACAATGTTTTGTGCACCAGGCCTCTAGTTTAAGATAAGAATCAGCACAAAACATGTATTTTGTGAGATGCTACCCATCACTGGACTTGGAAAATCCTCAGCTTCTTCTCAGTTAAAATCCATGAATCCTGATTCAGTTCAGAAAGGGCCTTAAAATGAATTTAGCATTTGGATATAACTTGAGGCAGCTATTGGATGGGATATTACTAGAGATTATATTTTAAAAAGTATTATGGTGATCTAGTTTCATTTTTTTTGCATGTATCTGTTCAACTTTCCCAACACCATTTATTGAGAGACTGTGTTGACTCCATTGTATGTTTTTGCCTCCTTTGTCAAATATTAGGAGTTAGCCAATCAATGATTCTCTATCATCATAAATGTTTCTATCGCTCTCTCCGTCTCCTTTCCTCTCTGAAATCAATAAAAATATATTTATAAATAAGTAAATAAATAATTAAATGCAAAGGAAAACAAAGTATTATGGGTGTTGATAAGCATCTCATCACTTTTAAGGTAAAATATGTTTTTATTAGGATTTTATAATTCAGAGTTGCCATCTGGGAAATAATGTCCTTCAACCGTATAATTGTCCTGATGGCAAAGCTGAAGCCTAGAAAAGTTAAGTAACTTTCTAGAAAGCTCTGGGCCGGGTAGTCATGGCAATAGAAGTCTCTCAGTTACTTCTTGCATGCCCTTAAGATTGTAAAGGGTGCCAGAGGGGTGATGAAGCCCTACTTAATCTCTCCCTATCAGCAAAATGACTTCTTTTGCATTCCTAGAACATCTACTTTGAGTCCCAGTATATAAGTTTGTTTTAAATCATTACTTTCACACTTCACAAGGGTGGGCAAAAGTGGGTCTACAGTTGTGAGTATGTAAAACACAAGTTATGAAGCTATTGTAATAATGAAAACCTTCATGTCTTTTCCCATAGGAACAACTGTAAACCTACTTTTGCCCACCCCAGTATATGTATGCAGTTTTATTATATGTATTTGCTTGCTTGACTGCGATTAGACAAGATACATTTTAACAAATTCTAGAATCCCATGTGTTAGAATAGGAGGAAGTCTGAGTCTACAGAAATAATTTTAGTGTCTACTTACTTTTATGTCCTCTCAGCTTTGGCAAGAGAACAGACCTGACTATGTCAACATCCAGCTGTACCTCAGTCAAACAGATGGGATGCAGGTATGTGGCTGGGGATGTTACTAAATGAAACGAGTCTCTCGGTAATAGGAGGTTTACTGCAGGGCTGTGCAGGGAGAACATTTCTGCAGGTGGTTTGAAGAAGTTTCCCACAGGAAGGCCTTTTGGAATGTGTCCAGAAAACTCATGGCTTGTCCTTAAACTTAAACATATAGGGTGTCCCCCAAAATGTATGTACATACTTTGAATAATTATAAAGGCAGCATTTATTAAAATACATTACATTTGCAAAAGTGAGCTACCAGCTGTTAAAATGTGTATACTTTTTTTGGGGGGGGGTACCCTATGTTTTGCTGTTTTTATTTTGTTTGTTTTTTGGGAGATTTTTTTTGTCCACCTCACAGGGAGATAGAGCAGACCTTACGAGTATTTCATCTCTTTCCTCTTCACTATTGCCTCAGGTCCTTTACCTATAGAGGCCAGACCATAACTGAACAGTCTTGTGACTGTATGTATGAAGAGGAGGTTTTATGGGGGGGGCGGGGGGAATAAGGTCATACACAAAAAAGTTTTATTTCCCTTCAAGGGAAACTAAGAAGAATAGCAGTAGCTATCACATTATTTATTCACTATGTGTGAGACACTGTTAAGCAATCATGTACACAATCATGGAATTCCAGCAGATTCAAGAGGTAGGAAATATTGCTATCCCATATTATAGATGAATAAATTGATGTTTACATATACCATGAAGGGCTGCACAATTGTGTAAATATCT